AAAATGAGCATACACTAGCATAAAAAGCCATTTTAATGGGCAAAGGTCCATGTTTAATACAAATGTACACGAAACTTAATGAAATATGTTTAGTGAAATTTGAAAATATTTAAGAGAGCGTTAATTTAATACATATTCCTATACATATTTTGTTGTAACGTCACAAGTAATAATCTCAGGGTTTACTGGGTTTTACATGATTATTTTTCTATTGGTGGTGGTAGGGGAGACCGGGGACGGTTGTAACACTTTTTTCTTCAGCACCTAAAACGACCTTTTTTTTTTAGCTACACGTCTGAAACTTTTAGGCAAAGTACCCATATTTGTCTACTACAAATGGCAACAATTTAAATTTCTTCAAAATATATCACAGACTTTGTGAGATGATCATGAATACAAGGTGGTCCTTTGTTACAACCTACCCCACTACTAGGGTAGGTTGTAACACATACTGGGGTAAGTTGTAACAGGTAGACAAAATGCACAAAAACTAAGGGTATTCCAAGTGATATGCCACAACATCATTTTTATTTTAAATGAATGGCTGCAACAATAAAATATGTGTGAATATGGGGGGTGTATGTGCATATTTCGTGTTTGTGCATGTGTAAACAATGGTGACAAGAACAAACAAATGAAATGCATTTTTAAGTCACAATGGTGAAAAAGAACAAAGAAATGAAATGCATTTTAAGTCACAATGGTGACAAGAACAAACAAATGAAATGCATTTTACGTCAAATGGTGACAAGAACAAACAAATGAAATGCATTTTAAGTCACAATGGACTTATACACTAACACAATAACACTTTCAAAACACGTGTTACAACCTACCCCGCCACTGTCACAATTGTTTAACTAGCTGTACCATACTAAAAAATAAACATTGTCACGTGTTTATCTTTCTTCTTCTCACCGATTCCTGATGGTTAGAGGACAGTTACTTGAGTAGCTCCCTGTCGTTTCAAAGAATAGTACAACAGCGAGCGCGTCAAGTATAAACGCCTCGACCGTTTGGAGCGGTGCGCGCGCTGTCTGTGGAGACTCGCGCTGCAGAGGCAGGCGAAAGTATAAACAAGGCTTCCGTCTCCTCGCGGGTTCAGATATACTGAAATACGTCCACATCGCAGACATGTTGCTTCAGACAAGCACGTGCAGGTCGCGGTTTCTGTTTGCGTCATCACAACATTTCGGCCGTATTGTTTCGGTGATAAAAGTCTTTCGGCCGAAAACCGAAAATGCACTTTTGGGCCTATTATTCGGTGCATCCCTAGAAAAAATACTTTCAAAATTTAAGACTTTATAAAGCCGTGATAAGACTTTTTAATACTTTTTAAGGGTCTTAATTTTCCCAAAATTGATTTATCACCTTTTAATACTTTTCAAGACCCCGCGGATACCCTGTGTGCAATGTGGGAATTGTTGTCTTTCATACAAATGCGCCCTAAAGTTACCAGGGTACCCCCAGGATCCTCCAACTTAAATTCAAGGCTTTTTAAGACCTTTTTAATACCATTTCAACTGAAATTTAATGCCAACTTCGTACCCATTCCGACAGAAGTATGAGGGAAAATAAACCCTAGAAAATAATTATGTACAAGGAGGCTACTTGAATTAAATAAAACATTTTACTTAAAGTAACAACAGGTCGTTTTTTGCTCTCGGGGTCCCCCTACAGTTGGGAAACAGTATTGTCCTCTACTACTGTCGTAAACTCTGTCATCCTACATGCACGTGCATTTGTTGACAACCATGATAGCCCTGAACACTGTGGGAGGAGGTCACATGCAGGTGTTCTGCTTGCGTCTCGTGTGAAATGTCTTCATCCCAGGTACAGTGGCATATATTTCAGCATGTCATATGAATATAATTTCATGTGTTTTATTTTTTTTATAACGACAAATGATCGCGTTTACAAGCCAGCGTCATTATAGTAGCCTAGTCTATTGGTTACCGTTTTACTAAATCTATATGATACTTCATTGCAATGTTTGAGTGGTTGATAATAACCATATATCGTCAATATTATAATATCAAGCTACCATAAATGAATCTGCAAATTTTACAAATCGATTTGCATTATAGCTTGAGGCAAGACAAATAAACAAATATCACAGACATGTTAGGTATCCTAAAATTTTATTAATAATCTTCCTCCTTTCTTTGTACATGTTGAGTAGACTACACTTTTTAGGTCAAACATTTGCTATTTGCATTTCATCGATTGCAAAGTTCAAATCAGAACGAGAATACTAGCGATAGCTAACCATCAAAAACTAGAATATCGTTTACTAGCTACCAGATTGATAATTCGCTACTACTCTAGCGAATTAGAGAGGTTAGAGAGAGGCATTCTTTTTTCGATGGGGGGTTCGATGCTCCCTGCACACGCAAGGTCTCTCGCTCGCTTTCTCTCTCTGCCGTCCGCGCGCGTTGGAGCACAGTCTCTGTCTCGCGTGCGCGCTCGCTCTAGATTCCGGGAGATTTGAACTAATTTGCGGTATAACTTGTCGATCACGAGTGGCTCAACAGGTAGAGATCTATAGATAAACTCATCTTTCAGGCATTTGACCGACCGGGTTGACAATTTAGCGTGAGAAACCGGGGGTGTGGCGTGTGAGCGTGTGAAACCAAACCAATTAAATGCGGGTGTCTCACGGCCAATGCGTGAGAGTTGGCAGCTCTGCAATGTTGATCCTCGTTCTGCCTTTAACGCGATCAATTTCTCTTTTTCTCTTTTTGCTTTGCTCCGATAAAACCTTTGCTGTCTTGTTTTTCTGTGCTGCTTCGGCCATGACTATAACATTTGGCTCGCAAGTCCGATTTTAAGGAAGTGGGGGTGGTGGTGGAAGTGACGTATATGCCGTAAAGCAGTCGAATTTTGTAGTTCTCTTTGTTCACCGGTTACTACCCGAAACCCGAAGTTTAAAAGTACGATTAAAAACGCTACAGACCCCGTCAGGCTATGGCAGACGTGTCATTCAACCTATTGTAAGTCGATGTACCATCACAAGAGACTTGGAAATATATTATGAAGGCTGAAAAGTTACCTGTTGTCACTTTAAAGTATCAGTCATATTTAATATGCAACAGCATTGTAGCGCGCATGTGTGTGTAGGCCAGTGTTAATTTTGGCAGCCATTTTTTATTTAGTCTTAGTCTTCAGACGAAAATGCTTATTGGTCTTAATCACATTTGAGTCATCCTGTTTTTTATAGTTGTAGTTGACGAAAAGTCTTTGCATTTTTTGTCAACTTTTAGTCAAACTGCAGTTACTTTACAGGTAGTTATTTTATATGTAGTCTTTAGACAGAAAATGTCATAATAATTATTCTCTCTAGGCCAATTCAATTAAGCTGATGAGAAATTATTGACATTGCACTCTTTAGCAGTAGCACTTGTGCAGTTCTACATAATTATCCCTTTTCCTAAGTTCCGTGGTTCTCCAATTTTTTAGAGTGCCGTTCCCCCTGAACCCCCTCTCTTCCACTTAGACTGCAGTCACACCCTTTCCATTAAAGGTGCTCTAAGGGATGTCATGTGTTTTTTAGGCCAAAACATTTTTTGTCACATACAGCAAACATCTCCTCACTATCCGCTGGCTGCCTGTCCCCTGAACACACTGTAAAGAAACGCGATCTCTGTAGACAGCCCATGCTTCACAAACAGCACCAAAAACAAACTGCAGCGACCCGCTCCCCAAAACATAACAAACTGTTCCAGCCAATGACCGACAAGAAGGGTTTGGGGGTGTGGTTTGGGGGGTTAGTGTGCGGATGAGGAGGAGGGAGGGTCTAGCTAGCCTCCGTTTTGTTTGACAATAGTTCGAACGTCAACAAGAAGTGACGTCACCCAGGATCGCTTAGAGAACCTTTAAGGGACCAGATTTGCCCCCTTTAATAAATTTTTCCATTTCATTTTTTTATTAAATTTGCAATGATAAAAAACATTAAAATCGCCAGTAGGTGGCAGTACCTCACTATCTTTATGAGTGAGTCTGAGTCATTCATTCATTGAATCTCACGATTCGTTCAAAGCCACATATTTCGTTGCAAAATAGAGCAAGCCTGATAATGCTGTTTTCAATGTAGTACATCACTTAATGTAACCCTTTTTTCTTTTATTTACTGTTGTATAAAATCAAAGTCACATTTGAAATCGTGTGGATATTCGGGAAACATTGCATTCTTGCTCGTATGAACACTGGTGGATATCAGCCTGCATTTTGATCGCAGATTTAGTCGCACAAACAGCGCAAGCGGCTCGTGACAGAACACAGACCGACTGAATGACACTTTAATTTAAGTACAACATCTTAAATAAAGATCGCTGAACTGCAGCTTGTCTGTGTTTTCAAATCATCCGCACTTCTTCAGCAGTGTAGAGAGAGAGGGCGCGCATGGTTGCCAGATACTATTGAAAAGACGGGTAGAAATATGTTCTTTTAACAGAAAAGCTCTTATTTGGGGTTTAAATTATGTCATTTGTGGCCTCAGCGGATTAAGCTAGGTAGGTACTATCTTGTTCTGTACCTCACTTGCCTAGTAACCATAGTAACGGGTGCGCACGCGATCGCTTTTTCTGCTATGACGTGGAGCGCGAGGTGCACTCAACGCTGCATACATTTTTAATTAGCCTACATTAGTAACAGTTAATTTTGTTACGGTATGAACTTAATCCTAGCAAAGGCAAAAAAAATATATAAGACCTTTGTAACGAAATCCAAGACTTTGTATACTAAATTCAAGGCTTTTAAGGCCTTAATTTGAGATGATCAAATTCAAGACTTTTTCAAGGCTTTTAAGACCCGCGGGTACCCTGGTTACTTTCTGTCTTTCCTCGGTCAAGAAGGCACCAAATTCGAAATTTTACATTTCGACTACATATATGACCCACTTTCAATAAAGATTAATGTTTCCACGGGTGAAATGTTCCTTTAATACACACTAGCTTACAGGACATTCCAGGTGTCAAAAACAACTTTGCTCATCTACCAACCTGACGCTTGATCGACGAGGACACGGGAGTTGATTATTCTGCCATAACGTGTAAACATTTCTTCTACGTCCTTCTGCGTCATTGTTTTAGGTAGCCCACTGATGTAAAGGTTGGCATCCTTTATGGTGTCAGAGCTTGGCCTGGCATATGACACCTGTCAGAAAGAGCAAAGTTAAAAGATCAGATCCTGAAGAAATACCTCCCCTGGAGATTACTAGGAAAATCTCAAACTATGGCTAAATAAAAAATAATAATAAAAAAGGGGATGCAAACTTAGAGTCTCCAATTTTTGTAATTTTTTAAAATTGATATTAATTTATTTTAATTATTTTCAAATAGGGAACACCCACCCAACAAATAGTTTGACATGGGTCCTTTACAAATATTTAATTTTATAGAAATGCAAAAACTATTTCATAGAATTCAAACATTAAAGCAACATGTTTGCAACCTGTAAACCATAGATAATAAAATAAATCTTTAAATGAATCTAGTAAATATTGAAAAGCCTGATAAAAAGGCCACAACCAAGGTTCCATCAGGTCTGAGCAATTCTACTCCAACAACTTTACTTTGTTCTCGCTGCCTTGTTCTCACAACCGGTGTTCTGAAGCAATGACACAATTTAACTTTACACAGGAGCACCTTTTGTCACATTACCTTGATAGTTTTAGACTGTAGTCTCAGTCCATTGAGAGTACTGATTGCTCTTTCTGCATCATTAGGGTTAAGATAGTTAACAAATCCGTACCCTAAACTGTGGCCTAGAGAAAAAAAAAGGAAAACAATAAAACAAACAAAACAAAAAAAAGTTGAAACGTTCCAAATACAAAGGAAAAAAACATCCTAGTATCAAATGTTAAACTTCAGGGGAAAAAACTGATGCCAACAAATAAATCCACGTTGACTTGGGACAGGCCTGAGAAAGGAAACTAAAAATATATCGTTTTTTTTCTGTCAACACTGAAATGAAGAAACACTTCCAGTGCTTCAAAAGTTTGTCTAAAAGCGCAATTTTCTTTAATAAATTCATTCTGTTTTTAAATTGACATCATGGCTACATGCAAACCCTGCAAAATAAAGACACTACATCCCTAAACCAACAAAGACAAACAATATTTTCTCTCAACAATAATTTATGTGTCTGCTTTGAAACCAGTGTGCCAAGTGCTGATAAATACTTGCCTGCTACTTTGTCACGAATAAGTTTAGCAGACTCCACCTCCCCAATGCTGCTGAAGAGACTCCGCAGCTCATCTTGGCTCATATTCTGAGGCAAGTAGTTGACGATGAGGTTTGTTTTGGCATCTTTAGGCTCATCGGCCATGTGATCTTCGTAACCGTTCGACATGTCATAGACCTCCTAGAAATAATCAAAACAAGTTTCTGTGAGGGTTATACATTTTTGCCAATAGAAATTGAATTAGACAATATTGAATATTACCGCAAACTCATGCAGTTATTTTACATGAAAATGTGTTGCTGTTGATACCTGGCTGTACCTGCACAGGTAATACAAAGCCTCAAAATTAGGCCTAGATCTTTCTGAAAATGTTATCAATTACAGCTGGCAAGCCAGTAATAGAATGACAAACACGCAATTAAAGAGAATTAGAATAAAAAACTAATTTTACATCAAATAAAAAACATTTATGTGAGATTACATTATGCTTACACCTAAAGGCTAAATTTCATTGGCTTTTTTCATTGATAAAAATGGAGCACTTCCTTAAATTTTAAAGACAGAAAAGCATCAAATTTGTGAATTAAGGGATTTATATTCTTGCCTAGGGAATAAATAATGCAACTACAAGCATCTGCAAGACAGTTCTTCTAAGGACTTCAAAATGCCTCAATTAAAAAATGACTGAAATCATTTTGGCTGCATTTCTACTCTACATTACACAAATGAGAAAAGAAAAAAAAGAGAGAGAGAGAGAATAAAAAAAAAAAACAACACCTAGTCACTTACCTACAAAAAACATTACATATCGTTAACAAGGAACAGTAGAACAAAAAAATGCAACATATTCCCTTTCAGAGCATATTTTACATTTGTATTATTAATATGCAAGTTTCAAAATGTTACCTTACCTAAACCACAGTGTTTGTTAATCACCAAACATGAAAGTTCAATATACCACAAAAATTAACTATGAGTGATAAGAATATGTACCAAGCTAAAACAGTAAAAAAAAAAAATGTGAGCAAAAGGACAGATGTAACTGTCAACGTACTGTACTGCTGTTCTTTTACATTCTATGATCATCAGCACTGCCTCCAATGGAGTCTCAGTCTAGCTGAAATTGCACATGACCACAATTCATTCAACACAAAACCAATAAAATATGGTAGTGTACTAATGGTATAAAAAAGGGGGTCTTGGATGTCTATGTCTAACCCCTTCAAGGGATTTTAGGTGAAGGAGGAACTGATCACTGTGGTCAGGTCACCATGATTATTTTAATATCGGACAGTGCGTTCCATTCATGTTAGAAGAGAGGTCTTATTGTGTATTCCACATGGGTAGCCACTAGCCAGTCAACCTTCAAGGCTGAAACAAACAGGCATTATTACAGTCCCTCCCACACAACCCATCATTGGAGGTTTTGATAAAGTGGTCTGAATCACTCAGACAATTCTGGTCACTCTCTATCCGACTACTTCGATAGCAAGCTGGTCCCTATAAACATGGTTAAACTTTGCAGCATTTGCCAGGCCAGATACCTTCAGCTGACATTATGCAACACCTAATAACATGTCTAGTGCATTCAGTGAAAACTTAAGTCTACCTCAGATGACAGCATTAAACCTCAAGTATTACTCGCTTTACACAGGCTTCAGCACTATATGGACGAAAACAGCCTACAAGCACTAAACACTACTAACTCCAGCTTACAGGTTCAGTTTATTTTTAAAATCCATTCAGTCCCTGATGGACGCAAATTCTACTCACTTTTAAGTATCTAACGTGTCCCCTTCTGACTGCCATGAAGAGCCGTCACAGATCCCAACTCTGAAGATACCAAAAACAAAATAAGGTAATAAAAATACACGCTGACGAAAAGGGGTGGTAGGGAAGGCAAAGATGGGTTTGGGGGTTCAGAGTAAAATAAATAAACTAAAATAAAAGAAGGGCAAAAAGATAAGATGAGCCACCTTCTGATATAACCTGTGGAAAAAGAATAACAACCATCGGCCATTAAGACTGGTGTAATTTCAGCGTGTATTTTTAGCACCTCACTTTGAGTCTGGACTGCCTGCACAACATCTCAATGTTGACATTATGTGCTTGTTACATTTCTTTACACTGCAAACTTTTATATATATATATATATATATATATATATATATACACACATATACATATATATATATCATTTGTAGTTTTTATAAATGGAAGAAAAAAATACAATACTACAGTGTGAATACTATATGTAGTTAAGAGTTTAAAAGCAAAAATGTTTCATCACTTTGTTTTATCCCTTTAAACAAATCTACATGGCATTAAACATAGGCTAATTATGTGAATCTATTTTGGACTGCACGAATGAAAGTAATAATATTAATAATAATAGGTTAATAAACTTTTTTAAACACAACATGGCTGATTACTAACCTTAATCTTTAACTATGCCAAACTACGTCCACCTTATAAAATGCTGTTGCATAAAATACATTTTAATAACTAATTGATGGTCTAAATAGTGTTCCGGGGAAAATTCCGTTTCATTTTGAACATTCACTCAAGACAAATATTTGCATTTATACGACATTTACACGGGCGGTTGAGCTTATTAAACTTATCAGAACAAAAATGTACTACAATCATAAAAAAATGACAACACTGTTTAGGACTACGTAGGCTGTTGAGAAAACGGAATAAACGACATTTGTAATTCTGCCTAGTCGTGGGGGCGTGGAATTTACAACTAACGTTAACGTTACCCCGCAGCAGGACATCACTCATGCTTGTGTAGATTACCTAGCCATTGTTACGGTTTCGTATCGTAGCTACAGAACAACAACCTTGCGGCATTACACAGCATGTTTGTGAAGAATCAGCGATTCAAATAGGTCTAACATTAAAATACCACACAACACGAGGCCTCGTTCCCCACACACCGTCCCCTTATTTTCGCGATGACTCGCTCGGTAAATCCCATGCAACTCTCGAGCTTAAACTCGAGCAGGCTGCGCTAAGGGGCCTAACTCAAATAAAGTCAGGCCTCAAACACCGAACACATTTATAACCGTTACTAGATCTAAATAAACCAATTTAAGTGCATCATGATGGGAAAAAAAACAAGTTCACAAAATATACATGGCGCCTTACCAACTTAAAAGTCTATCCGATTCTGCAGTAGAATGGAGGGACGCGGAGCTTTAGCAGAACGTGGCTTTTTGGCGCTGCGCTCTCGTGACACAAAAAACACGCCACAATGGAACTATGCCGAGGAAGCGGAAGTCTAAACCCCTCCCACTTCCATAATCCATTCAGATACAGATCAACAGTCACTAATAATAAAACCAGTCATTTTATTAAATATTAATAGATTTATTGTGCAAAATAAAACGCCCTTGCTGTGTGTGCATATAAAATATTCTTAGAACAGGTATTGTGAAGAGACATAGGCTACTTTAGATTAATGTGGAAATTTAGGAAAACGTTAACTGGATGATATTATCAGAATGATTCGAATCTCGTAACACTGAAATATAAAATACATATATATACAGTAGGCCTACCGGTCAAAAGTTTGGAAAAATTACTATTTTTAATGTTTTTGAAAGAAGTATCTCATGCTCAAAAAACAGTAATATTGTGAAATAATGGTTTTCTATTTTAATATACTTTAAAATATAATTTATTTCTGTGATGCAAAACTGAATTTTCATCAGCCATTACTCCAGTATTCAGTGTCACATGATCCTCCAGAAATCATTCTAATATGCTGATTTATTATCAATGTCGGAAACAGTTGAAAAAAATGTATAACCTGTGATACTTTTTTCAGGATTCTTTGTTGAATAAAAGGTTTTTAAAAAGAACAGCATTTATTTAAAATAGAAATCTTTTGTAACAATATAGACTAACAATTCAAAAGTTTGGGGTTAGTAATTTTTTTTCTTTCTTTTTTTTAAAGTTATTAATACTTTTTTCAGCAAGTATGTGTTAAATTGAAAAAAAAGTGAAAGATTTATATTGTTAGAAAAGATTTATATTTTGAATAAATACTTATTTTACTTAATTTATCAATGAATCCTGAAAAAAGTATCACAGGTTCCAAAAAATATTAAGCAGCACAACTATTTCTAACATTGATAATAACTGAGTATCAAATCAGCATATTAGAATGATTTCTGAAGGATCATGTGACACTGAAGACTGGAGTAATGAAAATTCAGTTTTGCATCACATAAATAAATTATATTTTAAAGTATATTAAAATAGAAAACTGTTATTTTAAATTGTAATCATTTTTCACACTATTACTGTTTTTCTGATCAAATAAATGCAGGCTTGATGGGCATAAGAGACCTTTTTCAAAAACATTAAAAATAGTAATGTTTCCAAACTTCTGACCGGTATGTATATACACTCACCGGCCACTTTATTAGGTACCCCATGCTAGTAACGGGTTGGACCCCCTTTTGCCTTCAGAACTGCCTCAATTCTTCGTGGCATAGATTCAACAAGGTGCTGGAAGCATTCCTCAGGGAGTTTGGTCCATATTGACATGATGGCATCACACAGTTGCCGCAGATTTGTCGGCTGCACATCCATGATGCGAATCTCCCGTTCCACCACATCCCAAAGATGCTCTATTGGATTGAGATCTGGTGACTGTGGAGGCCATTTTAGTACAGTGAACTCATTGTCATGTTCAAGAAAACCAATTTGAAATGATTCGAGCTTTGTGCCATGGTGCATTACCCTGCTGGAAGTAGCCATCAGAGGATGGGTACATGGTGGCCATAAAGGGATGGACATGGTCAGAAACAATGCTCAGGTAGGCCGTGGCATTTAAACGATGCCCAATTGGCACTAAGGGGCCTAAAGTGTGCCAAGAAAACATCCCCCACACCATTACACCACCACCACCAGCCTGCACAGTGGTAACAAGGCATGATGGTTCCATGTTCTCATTCTGTTTACGCCAAATTCTGACTCTACCATCTGAATGTCTCAACAGAAATCGAGACTCATCAGACCAGGCAACATTTTTCCAGTCTTCAACTGTCCAATTTTGGTGAGCTCTTGCAAATTGTAGCCTCTTTTTCCTATTTGTAGTGGAGATGAGTGGTACCCGGTGGGGTCTTCTGCTGTTGTAGCCCATCTGCCTCAAAGTTCGACGTACTGTGCGTTCAGAGATGCTCTTCTGCCCACCTTGGTTGTAACGGGTGGTTATTTGAGTCACTGTTGCCCTTCTATCAGCTCGAACCAGTCTGGCCATTCTCCTCTGACCTCTGGCATCAACAAGGCATTTCCGCCCACAGAACTGCCGCTCACTGGATGTTTTTTCTTTTTCGGACCATTCTCTGTAAACCCTAGAGATGGTTGTGCGTGAAAATCCCAGTAGATTAGCAGTTTCTGAAATACTCAGACCAGCCCTTCTGGCACCAACAATCATGCCACGTTCAAAGTCACTCAAATCACCTTTCTTCCCCATACTGATGCTCGGTTTGAACTGCAGGAGATTGTCTTGACCATGTCTACATGCCTAAATGCACTAAGGTGCCGCCATGTGATTGGCTGCTTAGAAATTAAGTGTTAACGAGGAGTTGGACAGGTGTACCTAATAAAGTGGCCGGTGAGTGTATAATCATTGTTTACACATTCATGAGAAAAGTCGCAAGATATAATTTCCAACAGTGACTTTTATTCTTTGTCCAGGATTCGATACTCTTGCGGGGGTTGATGTCCCATTAGCTGTGCCACTGTAATCCAAGACATTACCTGATGATGGAAGGGTCAGAGATGACATTATAAATCTTGTAAAAGATCAGGGAATAAATGAATTATAATTCAAGTCACAGAGCTCACCAGTACAAAGAGAACCACTAAAGAAGTCATCATGATGATGTCCAACACAAGTAGTAACTTCTCCTCAAGTTTATTTTGACAGCCCTAGAATAGAAAGAAAACAATGTTGAATCTGGCTTATAATGCTCATAATTTACAGTCATTTACAAATAAAGCCTAATTTGTTACTTTTTAAACCTTTTTATAGAAATATTTCAGGTAAAATACAAGTTAAGGGGTCATGACATGAGAAATCAAATTTGCCTTGATCTTTTGACATATAAGAGGTCTGTGCACCAAAACATCCTGCAAGTTTCATAGCTTAAAACCTTATCCTCATTCTAAACAAAGCATTTTATCAAGTTTTTCATCATATTTAATCAAAAATGGCTAATTTTGATATTGCGGGATCTGTGTCGTCACACGGGCAAATACATTTGCATATGACTACCTCCAGAGCATGACATCGACGAATAGTTATACATTGTCGCATTACAGGCCCTGCCCACTGGTGTTCAGACGCTTAGGCCATGTGTCCACCAAAGCGTTTTTTTTCCCTGAGGCTAACGTATTTTTCCAATAGTTTTCAATGGGAGCGCCGCATTTTTAAAACGCAAGGAGTGTGACGAGGCGCTAAGCGTCTATTTCACGCTGAGCGCTAAGCACACTGTGTTTTTGTCCATATTGTGACGTACATCTGAGTGTAAAGGCTCGTACACACCAAGGATAACTGTAATGATATAGTTCTAAATATAAAAGAATAGCAGAGTCCACAACTATAATGATTACGGCACAGAGGAACGATGTCGTTGGAATCACTTTCAGAACTATTTTCAGCTGATGAATGATAAAAACATTGACAGCCAATCAGAATCCATCCTGCTTTAAAGAACTTGCGCATTTAAATCAGAAGACGACACAAAACTGCAGCACACACTAAGAATAAACAGAACGATATCGTGCGTCGGTGTGAATGCTGATATAGTTATTGTTTTAGTTATCTTTAAAGTTATCGTTCTTGGTGTGAACAGGCCTTAAAAAGGACAAAATATAGGGTGGGGGTTTCGTTCTATGCATCGGTTGTTGATTGGACCGGAAGGTCCAGTTGTGACAACAACAAAAAAAGAAAAAGAAACATACATGGATGATTCATTCACAACAAGATTAACATGCATTTAGAAAATGCATTTGAATTTTTATTTAATGCCAACTTTAACATAATGATAGAGCCTCAGCTGTAAGTCTAGCAGGAAAATATTAAAAATCTTATACATAGGGTAGCTCAAATGTAATTAGTGTCTGTACCTCATTATAGAGAAGCAGGGGTGAGTCTAAAGTCCCATTGCAGTCGTGAAAGTTTTTGTTGCAGCAGCTTAGAGGAACTTCGTATTTCCTACTGTGATTAAACCAGGGTGTTTCTAACCAGTCTGTGTAGTTGTAAACACCACAACACCGCAACTGTAACAAAAAAAGTGTTACAATCTAATTTTACCAAACACATAGAAATCCTAAAGATTTCTGTGCAAATACCTCACGCTGAAGGGCATTTACTGCTTTGGTATCAGGATCTTGGATATTACCACTGTAGTTCTGAAACACATCTTTAAGGGGAGCCAAGTCCACATCAAGCTAAAAAAGATTACATTTAATATTAAAAACATTTAGTGAAATACACTTTTGTATAGCCAAGTAACTTAAAATTCCAGTTACCTTCCTTTTATGAGTGTATGCCAATGCTACAGTAGTAACCACAACGCAAAACACAATAATGAGAAAATACACAAACTGAAAGACAAGAAATATACAAATATGAACACCACACCTCATTCTTATGAGTAAATTATTATTATTCAGTCCTGTTTTTACTTCATAAAAAAAAAAAAAATCCATCTCACCAATCCATGTAGACATGAAGGTTTTTTGTTGGACACCAGACAGCCAATGCTTCCACTGATAAGGAGGATGGCTCCTCCGACAACAGCCAGCAGTGCAGGGAGAATTATATAAAAGCTGCTAAAGAAAATACTGTAATCTCTGTATTTATGCAGCAAGAATGAACCACCCAGACCTGTAATCCCAGCCAGCTAGACAAAGTAAAGAACGAAGGAATTTAAAAACAAGAGGAAACAAAACAGCAGATGTATTTCCTAAAAGCCATTTCTTGTCATGTGCTGTACATGTGAGCAGCCATGTCACTGTTTTAGAAAAACACATCTTTTTCTATTTTTTCTTTTCACTGTAGTAACACTCATACAAATAATCCTATACTTTTGTTGCCTATACATATTACACAAGGTGTAGGCCTAAATATAAAATAAGGCTATATCCAAGGCTAGTTGTTACACTTTAATATTTCCCAGGCCATTTAAGTTAACACAGTTCAACATTTCAAAAATAATTTTAAATCTACCTCCATCATTGTTGACCCTTGCCTGTATTGTGTTCACTTATTTACCATACAGCCATTATAAAAATATGATGCTATTGAAATTTAGTTTGGATTATAGAATTCTCAAAAAGGCCATTCATCATAAATCTTGTGTTTTATACCAACATATTAAGCCATAGCCACTTCTAGAGAAAACATGGAATTATATTAAAGTGGTTAAGGCAAATGCATTAGTATTATGATGACAAACGAAACAAACAAGTGCATGATGCTGCCTAAACTCACCGATAAAAGAAGAGAAGCAATTATAAGAAAAATTCCGAAAGCTCTTCTCCTTAGAGACATGGCTCTGCTTTAATCGATTCGCGTGAACGCGTAATCTATACACACATATTTACGCAGTTCTATCAAGGTCTCTCGGTCCAGTTCAACCTCAGCAGTGACGAACACTGATATGACTTGATGGATTTAAAAATCGAAACCAGATAAAATTGCGGAAGTCACTGAATCTAGTAAACAAGTAGGGGGCACTGTACCAGAGAAATAAAATAGTCCTCGAATTCTAAAGCCATATAATATAATAATAATCCTAAAAAAAATGAATAAAAAAATACGTCTATATGAATTGGTGGTGTTTTATATATAGGGTAGCCTACATTTTTTTTTTAAGTCTACTTTAAACGGTATCATATAAATTTTATCTATTTTTATTTATTATTATTTTTAAGTAGAACTCATTTATTAACAATTAGGAATAATAAATATTAAAAACACATAAAAATAAAAATAATAACCACGAGGATACTGCATGCTCATAATTATTATTAAACGCATACACAATTGTTATATATATTCAAATGTTGATCTAATAAATCTGATAAATTCACACACACACACACACACACACACACACACACACACACACACACACACACACACACAGACACAAAAACTTTTTACGTTTTTATTGGACGTCATTATTTTGCGACAAATTTGCTGGTCTTGTCATTGAGAAGCAAGATGGCGTCAGCATCAGAACATCAGGGTGCTCCAGACAGCGAACTGGACGAATTATTAGACAGTAAGTTTTTGAGGATGACTTAAATATTAAAATAACAACAGTTAAAATGTGCGAATGTTTGAGCCCTTTTGTAATGTTACTCTTTAATGAACTAATGTTTAGAAGAAGGCGGTTGTCACAGTGCAGTTGCTGCTCCGCTACTAACGTTATGTGCTCATGCTTGTCTCAGTGATTGTACTTTTTTTAGGCATGTGAAAGCATTACACTGTTCGTCGATTAATTAATTAGAGATCCTCATTTTATCTCTTTTATGGTCCCATTAAAAACTCGTAAATTGTGTACAAACCGGGTTTTGAAGTTAAACGGAGCTTTAGGAGCTGCATGTTTACTAGCCAACTTTGCTATTCATGCCGTGTAATGAAATCAGACACGTGATTATATATAATCAAAACAGATGCACGTATACCTCTGGTACACCAATGTTAGTGTTTCCTCAACCTCAACTACAGGTGCTCTTGATGATTTCGACAAGACCAGTGTTCCCCCTGAGGCCCCCACTGCCCCTGATGCAGGAACGAGTGACGAGAAGGTAATAAACACATATTTTAATTTGTATAGCAATTCAAGTAGCAACCAGAATTTTCCTAAATTTTCCGGCACTCTTGCAATTCTACAGTAAGTTTGTTTCATGATTGTTGCTGGTTAATTTTTCTTTTTTTCTCTGTTCATTTCATCTTCAGCCCCCTCTGCTGGAGGACAGTAAGTTCTTTGAGACTCTCTTTGATGGTGAGATGGCCAATCAAGCACGTGAGGAGTGGGAGAAAGCCATGGCTGAGCTAGCGCAAGAAGAACCTGACCTTCTACAACATTTTCATAAGCTGTCTGAGGCAGCAGGTAAAGTAGGTGAGTAATCTGAAATGGAGCACTGTTGGATGAAGATATACAAGCTTTATCCTCCTATATTCCAATTGTTTTGACATTTTTTATTTAGGCACAGATGTAGCTTCACAGCAAGAATTCACCTCCTGTCTTAAAGAGACCCTTAGTGGTTTGGCGCAAAATGCAGACAACCTTCAGGTAAACCCACTTTGAGTTTCTCATATTGCAATGTAAATTAATTCAAGGAAATGGTGTGACATGGTTTTAATGATACACTACAAAAGTTTGGGATCGGTATGATATTTTTTCTGTTTTTGTAAGAAGTCTGTAATGATCGCCAAGGATGCATTTATTTGATCTAAAATACAGTAAATGTATAATCACAATTTTAAATTAAAAAACTGTTTTATATTTTTTTTAATGGAATTTATTCCTGTAATGACTTTCAGCTTCAGAATGTTCTCTTTTGGCTCGTGCGCACTCTTCACACAGACGAGCGTGTCAATCTATCACTTAATGCCGTTGTCCCTGTTCCCTGCTCTTGATATACAATCATTGATTAACATTTTGATTTTAATGAGTAAAAATAAAAAAACTATACTAGGATGGATTAGGACCCCCAAAAGACAGCTTTTATCTGAAATATAAATATATTGTAACATTATAAAGTACTTGAAATCACTTTTGATCAATTTAATACATCTTTGCTGAATAAAAGTATTAAGTTTTATTTAAAGTATTAATATTAACTTAACAAAAAATATCTTACTGATCCCAAACTTGAAAGGTAATGTATGTCAGAAAAAAATGAAAGGAATGTGATGAACAAAAGTCAGCCTTTTAACAAGAGGCTGCTCACTGTAGAGCCATGGGTGGAGCGTGAAGTTCAGCTCCCCCTTTCTGGACGTAATACGTGGAGCTAGATGGTCCAACCAAATCACATAACCCTATCCCTCCACCCCTTAGTTCTACAGAGGTAGAGCGGGACTTGGTCAAGCTCAACCCATGACATCCAGAGAGGGGGATCTAGATGTCATTTGGCTCTGCAGTGAGCACCACTTGCTTTTACCTTTAAATGCAGAGTGCAGGACTGGCTGGAGATGATCTGGTAAAGACTTTGGAGAACCTGGGATTGAATGAAAATGGGGAAGGAGGAGGAGAAGATGGCAATATTCTCCCAATTATGCAGTCCATCATGCAGAACCTTTTGTCTAAAGAGGTTCTCTACCCTTCTCTTAAAGAGATAACGGAGAAGGTGAGTTGTTTACAGCATCTGTCTTACTGATTGTCCAACCTTTTTGTGGTACCAGTGTATATGCCTATCATCAATGCAATATTTATTGTCAGAAAATCTTGGGACACATTCCATTTAATTTTTGGTGTGTTTTTTTGTTGTTTTTACTAATGTCATGCACACTTTGCATTTAGTACCCTGAATGGTTGGAGGGCAACAGGCAGTCCCTCCCCCCAGACCAGTTCATGCGGTATGAGCAACAGTACAAGATCATGGGAGAGATATGCAGCCAGTTTGAAAAAGATGGAGACAAAGACAGCACATTTGAAAACATTCTAGAACTCATGCAAAAGGTAAAAAAAAAAAACCTTTTTAGTTTTAAAATTGAGTAATCCGTTTATTTTTATAATGATTTCGAGCCATCTTTTAAGGTTTGTTTATATGTATGAATGATTTTATCTTTTTCTTGTACCCTTTTTACTTAAAAACATAATAATATAACATTTCAGTAACAGCAATGTTAATATTTGTGTTAATAATGTCTTACCCCTTAGCTCCAAGACTTGGGTCAACCTCCAAAAGAGCTTGCTGGAGAGGCAGTGAGTATTTACATTTTTTATTATAATTATTATTTTACAATAGATATGTAATTTACATAATAAAAATGTTTGTTCTCTTATATTTTCAGCCTCCTGGCTTGAATTTTGACCCAGAAGCTCTGCACCTTCCTGGAGCACAAGGTCTTCCTGGAGCAGAGCAGTGCTCAGTCATGTGATCTCAATGAGGTCAATTTATGTATGTTTAAAAACTATACAATTTGGAGCTAATTATCTGAACCTGAATTGGACACAGTGGATCATGCTCCGCTTTTAAAGGAGTTTGTTTTGTGTCTGCACTGAAACTGTGAATTTCACTACATTAATTTGACCTTGTAGTTTTTGTCCACAGAGGTTCTTTTCATATTCATCCCTAATCCATTTACTGTTGTCACTGTAGAGCAGCTCTTAATGTTTTGAGTGAAGCTTGATATCTCAAGTGTGCCAACAGCTTTGTAAGAAAGAATCAAGGTCTTCTGAATTTACTTCAAGCTCATTTGACAACTTGTGCGGTGAATTGTTTTGTATAAGTAGACACAGATGCATGGAGTGACAGGGAAAGTATTTCCAGTTTAGTTTTACTTTTAAAATCTCAGAAGAATGGTCAGAGGCTACAAATAGCTTTCATCAGATTGATGAAATCATTTTAATATAAAGTGTTATATCTATTCTATTCTCATACTATATCATTAGTTTCATTTCTGTGATTTGATAACTAATCAGTGACAAATGAATCTCTCAGATTAAGATTAATTAAAAAAACTAACTGCAGGCACTTCAGATCCAGGTTCAATATATCAATATATTCTTAATATCATTGTGTCAAATATAGGCTGCATTTGTGTTTGAGTGGAATAATTCTCTCTACTTGTGTCTTCTAATGGTTATTGTATCTGTCTGCATATAGATCAGTTTGGAGTAGTGAATTGCCATGTAGATCTAAATCATTCCCATCATTCCTGTGGTGGTGCCTCTATGTGATGTGCTATTGTCATAATAATAGTCCTAATTTGCCTTGATTAAAAGAAAATGGTTTCATAGTTCAAAATTAATACTCTGTATTAACACTCAAAGAACATCACCTTAAATCCCAGGATACCTGAAAAAGGTTACATTTTGTAGTCATATGCTTTTGAGGGGATGTTTACAGGCTTCTTTTGCAAACAGTTTTGAATGCCTGTAAATGGGATCCTTTCACAGGATCAAGTGTGGAACTGATAGTTGACTTGCTTTCTTGACACATCTCATTGGTTATATGTAGTATGGTATGGTAGTATCTGGCCAATATGAGAAGGATAGAATAGGTATGATGAACAGGACAAAAAATATCCAATGGTTACAACACTCAGGGGTTGCTCAAACACCCAAGCACTCAAATCAGCTCATCAATATTCTTTATCATGTTAAATATTCCCTTAAATGTACAGTTCATTGGTCTTTTAACTACATAAAAGTCTAATAAATGTTATAAACTTACATTATTATTTGCCTGCTCGTTTTTATTCCAGTTACATATAAAATGAAACTAAGACCATTGACTATACACAATTGTCTATGGTTGTTAATTTATATTCTAACCATTTTACAATTTTTGTGGCTTTAAAACTTAAAAAAAAATGTAAATAACCAGCAAGGAGGTAACCTTTGGACATTTTGTGGTTTGTTTATGGCCCTGTTATATATGATGTATGGAGTGTCTATGTGGGTAAATACTTAGATTTGCTGTGAATGATTACGTCATTATGATTATTACGTTACGTTTGATCACCTTATTATTACGTTAACGTCGTTAAGCACCAACCGATTTATCATAAAAATAATTTGACTTTAATAGCAGTTTTTGTGTGTGTGTGTGTGTGTTTTTTTTTGTGTGTGTGTTGTTTTTTTCCGAAATCCTTATTTAATCTTCTAATATCTTGATTCAATGAAACAAATAGTGGGACAGCATTCAAATGTTGGATTGTTTCCAAAGTTCCAGGTGAAATGTGTCAAAATTGGAATTTTAAATAGAATAGTATTTTCTGTCTTAAGACAGAAGTAGAATTGTTTTCTCTAGAATAATGTGATCATGAGATAATTTATTTTAGGGTTACTAGGGAAACTAATAATATGGCAAAATATGGAAACAACCACCATGATGACTAAAACCGCAACAAATAACAATGCAATATACTATTGTTTACTTATACACGCAGTGTTCCTGATTATTATTTCCGTTTATTGACAGTGGTCTGTCTTTCAAGTGACTGACCGATAAAAATGCGTTTTTCATATTTTTAAAATGCAGATGACGAAGGCTCCATGACGTGGACTTTGTGATGTTGGCATTTGAATCATCAAACTTTATTTGTTCGCACACGGGAACACGCCACGGCCCGGGTTGTGTGCGCTGTGGATTGAGTAGACGTGTCAGCTACGGAAGTGGAGCCGCAGAATCATACACGCATAATCCCTTCCTAACGGGTGATGGTTTTAGGATTTAAATGAACGTAAACTGATTTACATCTACATAACGCATTCCTATTCGGTTATTATTGTCAGTGGAAATGTTGACCAAATTCGAGACAAAGTCGGCCCGAGTGAAAGGTAAGATATCTGCTCTGGCTAACTTCCCTTGATTGCCTTTTAATATAAGTTAATGATTATGTTTCTCTTTATGTACGTTTGTCTGATTTGCATCTATTCTTAATCATTGTTGAATATAATCCACTGTCTTTTTCAGCAAGCATTAAATTAAAATCGTGCTGAATACTGTAACTTATGTCATTCGGCGTTAGCACAACGCTAGTAAGTTATTTGTTGTTACGTTACATGTTAGCCATTCAGACGTTGCAGTAAATATTCTCTTCTCTGATGTTTCAGTATTTTTGTTTGATTGAGAACGCGCTGATGACATTATCTAGACCAGATTATTATCATTTATAAAGTAATAATAATCTGGTTAAATTAATGTCAATATGATTGTTTTCATAACACCATCTTGTTGACTGCCTCTTTATATTAATAAATAGCTGAATTGATTGTTTTGTCTTTTTCTGTAGGGCTGAGTTTCCACCCGAAACGGCCCTGGATTCTCGCAAGTCTGCACAACGGCGTCATCCAGCTGTGGGACTATCGCATGTGCACTCTTATCGACAAGTTTGACGAGCATGATGGTATGAAACAGCCGATCAACTATTTCATTAACTGCTGTCATTTATCCTGCGGTCTAATGATGATGTGGATTCATTTAGGTCCAGTCAGAGGTATTGACTTCCATAAGCAGCAGCCACTGTTTGTGTCGGGAGGAGATGACTACAAGATCAAGGTTTGCTTGCTTGCTTCATTCTCAATACTGTTGTTTAAGAAATTTGTCACCTGGCCACTGCTACTTTAGTTGGATGGAGTAGGTTAGAGTTTCCAATTGTTACTAACAATAAAGAACAGTTCTAAAGCATTTGTTACATTTTAATGTGTTTTAACAGTTAATGGACCTGAGCAAACATGAACTTAGTTTTTAATTTTATTAGAGTTAGTTCACTCAAAAATTAATTTATTCCATAATTTACTCACCCTCAAGCAATCCTAGGTGTATATGACTTTCTTCTTTCAACCAAACTCAATCGGAGTTATATTAAAAAAAATATTCTGCCTCTTCCCAGCTATATAATGGTAGTGAATGATACCTTGATTTTTGAAGCCCAAAAAAAGAGCATCCATCCATCCATCCATCATAAAAGTAATCCATACGGCTCCAGGGGTGTTAATAAAGGCCTTCTGAAACAAAAACTATTTGTTACCGAAAGCCAGTCAGTACAGTTTATATATATATATATATATGAACTGACCTTCGCTAGAAAGGAAATATAGAGACCGGACCTCTCTTATAAAGTGTTACTGAGTTTTTGTCACATGTTTTGATGTACTGACAGTTATTTGACTGATTAGGTGTGGAACTACAAGCTGCGGCGGTGTCTTTTCACTCTTCTTGGACATCTTGACTACATTCGTACCACATTCTTCCATCATGTGAGCCCTACTCTCCTCCAACTTTATGATGCTCTTTAATAATTATTTTAATAATGTTTATTTAATTAATGCCACAATAGACTAACTTCTAGCTATCTTTTTCAGGAGTATCCCTGGATCTTGAGTGCTTCAGATGATCAGACCATTCGCATTTGGAACTGGCAGTCCAGAACATGTGTCTGGTGAGTCTTTAGACAGCTCATGAACTAGTGGATGTGCAAGTAATAAAAATTTTTTGCTTCCACTTAATTCTGATAACCCACTTTAGACATTCTACTAATTATTTATAAATAACTTTGCAACTACATCTCATCTAACTTTGATTAGAGAGTTAGTATGTTAGAGTCAGGTGTTCAGGTTAGTAGAATAGTAGAAAAAACAATGTTACGGACGTGTTCTCCGTTACGGACGTGAGCGCTCTGAAAGCGGCACTAAGATGCTTTAAAACTTTCACATCAAACAGAAAGCACAAAACCTTTCTTTAACCTGAATTTCGTTTTGTATTAATTGTATCTTAATTTTAATCAATGTTTCATCAACCAAGTGCCTGGATTTGATAAATAAGAAGTAAATATAGCAGACGATAGATAGGAAACTGGAGCTCGTCTCATAAATGAACCGAAACTCAGCATATAAGGTAGCCTACTTGCCTCACATGTCTACTTTTAAACAGAACAATTCAAAACGAAAGAAAACAGACTACAGACTGCTCTCTGCTTATGTAATCCTTATGAAATGTGCATTTCTCTCTGGCGCGTTCACTAGGCTACTGAAGATCGCGAGTCAGCATCGTCAACTTTATCTTAGCCGACAAAGAAAACACTTGTTTATTATTAAACAATTAAAATATCTCCTTGCTATATTTTACATATTCATAATCATTACTTTTGCCGGTTCTTTGTGAAGAACAGCAGTGGCTGTTACTGGCTATTTAAATCTAGCGGGTTTGATATCTCGCAAATACAATGACGCTGGTAGTGACGATTCTGTCTGACCAATCAGTGATCTGCAGTGTGTTCACGTCACATTTTAGTATCGGTACGGTACGCTTGGAACCTCGACAGAGGTGGTACCATTTAAAGCGAGCCGTACCGTGCCGTACCATGCAGTGGAAAAGCGCCACAGGTGAGCCGTACCGAGCCGAGCCGTACCATACCATGCAGTGGAAATGCGCCAAAGCGTGCCGTACCAAACCGTGCCGTACCGTAGCATGCAGTGGAAAAGCGGCATTATAGTAGAATGTCTGTTGGGGGGAACATCAAAATAAAATGTGAGCAGATATTAAGCAGACAGTCTACTAATACTCGTATGATTGATTGGTAGTTGACAAGTTGCAAAGTTACTTATACTTGTATTAATTGTCTAAAATGGACCATCGAAATAGTGTTACCAAATTTAATTAATTCATTTATTAGGATATTGAAATTAACCTATTTTGGATTATTAATGATCTATCTTTTGTGAATAAAACCAAAAAATAAATTTAATGTACAAAAATTACCTGAAAATGCTCATCCCTTTTAAAAACAAATTGTTTGACCTGAGCAACACTATTATTACCTTTAGCTAAGTGAAACTGAGTTGTTCATTTTATCTGTGCTGTCTCTTCTCTGTAGTGTGCTGACGGGGCATAATCACTATGTGATGTGCGCTCAGTTTCATCCCTCTGAGGACCTGGTGGTGTCGGCCAGCCTGGATCAGACTGTGCGCGTGTGGGATATTTCCGGTGAGGAGGCTTGGGACAGGATTGAGTGTTTTGGGAAGGCTGGGGAGGTGGGAATGGAGAGAGAGGATGGAGGAAGATAGAGGCTGCCTAATGGCATTCTCTTCCTCGTGTCCTCTCTCTTACAGTGTGTACAGAACAAAACTCTGTGGGCTTGAAGCAAAAACGCCTCTCACACTCATGCATCAAGCATTTGTCTAGTG